AGTCAGTAAAATGATGAGAATAAAATCAGGTTAGTCGGCCCAATGTGGCGAATTTACGATGGTTTAGGAAAGAAATCCCATAGATGTTATCCTGGCTGACTTAACTTGAATTGAAATATAATGATTATGTTAGGTGTTAACTGTGGGTAGCAGCGTCCCTCTTTAGCCATCATCAATGTCTAACTGCGGTTGTCAAACCAGTTGTCAAGTTTGATAACTCTTCGAAAAACATACTAATAGGGAAAGGTCTATGTTCAGCACTAGACAGATAACGGCTGATTTATTTTAATTTTAATAATAAGAGATTATAGCGAGTTATCCAGCACTGCGTTTGTATTTACAGGGTTACCACTCGAGAACATTTCTGTCCCATCATTTACCTCATTTATGTAGTAGCTATATTCTGCGTAATCGACATAGCCCGAACGGTAAGCAAGCTGAAGTGGCAATGGGCTGGTCACATAGCTCGAAGAACCAACAACCGATAGGGAAGAAAGATTATTCAGCAGCGACCCCGCACGAGCAAATGCAGTGTAGGACGACCACCACTAGATAGAGTGACTTGAAGTCATCACATGCATTGCAGGGAGTCAGTGGATGCAGGTGGCTCAGGACCGTTCCTTATGTTAGTCTATGGGAGAGGCCTATGTCCAGCAGTGGACAGATAATGGCTGAAATGATTACAATGATGTGATATGCGGCTTAGCTCGTGATTTATTTATTTATTCATTAGTACATATATGTGTACATGGCGGACTTAATGCTAAAAGCATTCTCTCCCAATCAACTATAGGAAAGTGTCAGAATACGAGAATGATTGATTGCATGGTAATATTGCATAGCTTATAAACTTGCTCAAGAAACGAGCAATCAAATGTAAAAAGATTTTTTCAAATCCAACTCGTAGTTTTGGAGATTAGCGTGTTAAAAGGAACAAACTTTTAAATATTAGTATTTTTTTTTATACAACTTAGAATGGCAAACAAGCTGACGGCCCACCTGATGGAAACTGGTAACCGTCGCCTATAGACATGAGCAGTACCATGGACATAACAGAGTATATACTGTTTCGTCCATGATACCCCCCATGCGTTGCCATTCCTTAGGACTCAGGTGTTATTCCTCTGTACCCAGTAAATTCACGCCATATGCCACCCTTCAAACTGAAACACAGCCATGCTAACACAACTGCTTCGCGGTTGAAACACGAATGCGACAGAGGTACCCAAGCAATCGAATTTTGTACAAAGTCTCCCTCTGGTAAAGTATATATGTAAATTTAAAATATTAGTACATATGTAAATTTAAATACTGTATAAATATAAACATTTAATTGGTCAGTAGATTACTTTATTATTTTGTTTATTTCCACTACTATTAGTATGCGTGCGACTGCCAACAATAAAATAATTCTAATTAACTAACCAGTGATAAATACACATATAAATATACTATATTATAAACGAAATTGAGCTATGCTTTTTTAAAAAAAAATTGCTCCAGAAAATGTAGGATTTTGCTCCACAAGGACCCCCTTTTTATTTATTTTTTATTTATTCATTAGTACAAATATGTGTACATGGCGGACTTAATGCTAAAAGCCTTCTCTTCCAGTCAACCATAGGGAAGTGTCAGAATACTCGAATGCGGTACTACTAATTATTGATGTACATACATACTAAAATTACATATACGAGTATAAACGAATAAATATATATGAATAACAAATATACTTACACATATATGATATATACTATATTATACACGAATTTAGGAATAATATAAAGCACTTATTGCTCGGATAAAAGTAAAAAGTGAGCGTGAACGCTTTTTTTGAAAGACTCCTTCTTTTTGCATACCGCCAAAACATTATTTATTTTTATTTATGAATGAGCAATCGACATGAGAATTTCACAACAGCGATGAGAAATTGCATTCGGTTATATCTAGTTAAAAATAAAGTTTCTGTAGTCTCTGATAACCTCATATGAGATAAGATAAAAATATTTATCTAAAATGTACCGTAATAAGTACCTGTAAAACTCATATCTACCTATTAAGAGCAGTAAGTTCTTCAAAAACTGGCTTATGAAGTTTCTTCATAGTCAGAAATCGGCAGTAATCTTTTACCATCAGGCAGGCTGTATACTTATTACCCGTTCGAATGGTATATAACATATCCATTTTTTTTTCTATCCAGAAGTATGATTTTCACGGTTAAAAAGCTGAAACGTTTTTGATTAAATTTCCTATTAGTTATATTTCAAACCCTGTAGAATTTGTACGTGTTTTATGTATTAATCTAGTGGTAATTCAGTTTGAGTGATAAACACCAAAATATCTTAGTAATTTTATAAATAAAAAAAGTACATAATAAAACGAAAATGGCAAAATGGATTTAAATTAAATTAAATCAAAATTTATTTTAAAATATTACTAAAACATAAGACAATTACTCGTTCCAAAATATTTTAATACTCAAACTTCGACATATACAAAAACAGTACAAAATGCAAAATGTATAAACATATTATACAAACATATCGACTAAAATGACGCTCACATCTTGTTTTATATCAGACACGAGACAAAAATAGTGTCTAATTACCGCGACGATAATAAAAACTGGTCAAACGTGAATCTCAGGGTCACGTGCATTGTGCGCGGTTAGTGGTCAAAGTCCATGTTACTGTAACACACAAGTCAGGTTGAGATGATTGGACGGTACAAAGTCCACGTTTTACCTGCAAATCAACTGATGACGCATTTCTGATGCAACATGGTGGTATACACGGGTAATAGTGACAATGTTAAAGTTGCACCATATTTATTTATTTTTGTGATTTTGTTTTTTTTTTATACCACTGAGGTGGCAAACAAGTATACGGCCCACCTGATGGTAAGCGATTACCGTAGTTTATGAACGCCTTCAATACCAGGAGTAACTGAAAAACCTCTTTACCCCCCTTTAGAAGAACCCCATGCTGTAGTCTCTTGGGAAAACCTCGGCAGGGAGCTCATTCCATAACCTGAGTGTTCGTGGGAGAAAAAATCTCTGAAACCGCGTTGTACGCGACCATTTAGGTTGTTTTGTACATTCACTTATAGATTTTTTGTTGGATGATAATGGAATGGTAACCCCGTCTGCGTTATCGGTATTCAATGACGGAGCACCAGTGAGGGATGACTGGTCAGGAAAAGGCAGGTCAGTTAGCGCATCGTGACAAATTCAACGATAAATTAGTCACGATGGTTTCCAGGGACAACTGCGTGGAGGTTGACTTGATAAGGTTTAACAGCGATGGGGAGTAACCTCCCCATTACTAATAATCTCTTCCCCCCCCCTCCACTTACAGATATTAGGTTATAATAAAAATGTACACACGCGGATTTATTCTGTTAAATGAATTTCTGCCAATCAATCTTGAAAACTAGAATATATACTCGTATCGTATATAGTACATATATATACTCTGTTGTTACTATATTAATACTGGATATATATACTTTATGGTGTTATGTCAGAAATATGTTTATAATTTACATTTTGTTTAAAAATATAAATTGTATATATATATATATATATATATATATCCCTACATTTTCTAGAGCAATTTTTTTTTAAAAGCATGGCTCAATTTCGTTTATAATATATATAGTATATATGATATATGTGTAAGTATATTTGTTATTTATATATATTTATTCGTTTATATATGTAATTTTAGTATGTATGTATATCAATAATTAGTAGTACCGCATTCGAGTATTCTGACACTTTCCTATGGTTGACTGGGAAAGAATGCTTTTAGCATTAAGTCCACCATGTACACATATTTGTACTAATGAATAAATAAATAGCTGCTTCGTAGAAATATGACTGGAATAAGGGTACTCACTACTAGTATAATTGTTTGTATCTATAACAAGTTTAATATTGCAATCTTTTAGAGAAAACAATTAAGAGTATCTATCTATACCCATGTATACTTTTAAAAGGAAATTTTTTCCTATTGGTAAAATTGGAAATATCCAAATATAATATAAAAAAATGACTTTTTTTACAACACAGGGGGCAAACGAGCATGCGGCTCACCTGGTGGTAAGTGACTACCGCCGCCCATGATCACCCACAATACCAACAGCATTGCAGGTGTGCTGCCGGCCTTTTAAAAAGGAATATGCTCTTTCCTTGAAGGTTATGTTGTCGTATCAGTTCGGAAATGCTGCTGCTGGAAGTTGATTCCAAAGAGTGGTTGTGCGTAGAAGAAAGTCTGTTATAATAAGTAATAATTTAGATATAATTTTAAAGGATGATATCATATTTACCGAATATTTCAAATAAATAATATATTTTGTTATATCAAGAAAATAAAATTGCTGAATACTACAATCCGGTGCAATATAGTTGAAGTTAAGTTCGAAGATTTTTCATAAAAAAAAATTCGACTTCAGTTATGACATAGCCAGTTCATTTGATTTAAAAACTAAACAGTTAAAACGATTTCGATATAATTTCTATTGGAGCAATCTGTAAATATATCCTTAGTATAAATAGATAAAAAAAATTAATTGGTTTAAAACGTGAAGAAAAATACAATATATATATATATATATATATATATATATATACATAAAAAAAAACCGGTAATATTGGATATTAAATGTAAATTATTATTATATAAGTATCAAACGATATAAATATACGGATACTACACTAAATATATACGATGAATTATATATTCAAATATTGTACATCATATTTGACACACCTACGTCGAATTTACACGAGTAAAACATAGCAACTAATAGTACGTACTGAGTAGCTGTTAAATGTTATATTGTAGGTACATTTTATTGCCAGTACATATTAACATAAGTTTTAATTCTATTATGATTACGATATTAAACAACCGACAGTAATATTAGCTCATTCGTCGTCTATCGAAATGTTCCGACTGTAATCAAGATAATGACTCGGTCATGTATATAACTGACTGCGGAAACGTGAGCGAATAGTAGAAGATTGACCGCGTCCGCGACGCACGCCAGAATGATTGTTATAACACTCCTGTTTGTTATCCTCGCATTGTTTTATTATTACAACAGAAACTCGTACAAATATTGGGAGAGCAAAGGGATCAAACATGACAAACCGGTACTGCTCTTCGGGAACAACTACAGGAACTTCACCGTAAAGAAAAGTGTCACGGAACTCGCAACCGAAACCTACTGGAGGTACCCCGATGAGAAGGCAGTCGGATTTTACAGAGCAGGAAGACCAGAGTTAGTGGTTAGAGACCCGGAAATCATAAAACGCATTCTCATTACTGATTTTGTACATTTCTACCCGCGTGGACTGAATTTTCACAAGGACAATGTTGTTGAACCTATAATGCGAAATTTGTTCTTTGCGGACGGCGACCTTTGGCGACTACTGCGGCAACGAATGACGCCGGCGTTTACCAGTGGTAAACTTAAAGCGATGTTCCCTCTGATCGTGGAGCGAGCTGAGAAATTGCAATCACGTGCACTGTCTGCCGCCGCTGCGGGCCATGCGATTGACGCGCGTGAATTAATGGCACGGTACACCACTGATTTCATTGGCGCTTGTGGATTTGGCCTAGACGCTGACTCTCTAAAAGATGAAGACTCCGAATTTAGAAAGTTAGGAGCGAAAATATTTAAACGCAATACTAGAGATATTTTAGTCACTATATTAAATTTCGTCGTTCCTAGTATCGGGAAACATTTTAAAATATTTGAAAGTGTTGAACACGATATGCTCAGTTTAACTAGACACATTTTAGGACAAAGAAATTATGAACCTTCGGGAAGAAATGATTTCGTTGACTTGTTACTTGAGTGTAAGAAAAAGGGAACGATTGTTGGTGAATCAATTGAACGCAAGAAACCAGATGGTAGTCCTGAAACAGCGACACTAGAGTTAGATGATGCGCTTATGGCCGCTCAAATATTTGTATTTTTTGCTGCTGGTTTTGAAACATCATCATCTGCCACAAGTTTTACATTACATCAACTGGCTTATAATCCTGAAGTGCAGAAAAAAGTACAAGAAGACATTGATAGAGTTCTTAGCAAATATAATAATAAACTCAGTTACGAAGCTGTTAAAGAAATGACATATTTAGATTGGACATTTAAAGAAGGCATGAGAATGTTCCCGTCTCTAGGATTTCTAATGCGAGAATGCGTACGAAAAACTTTGATACCGGAATTAAATATAACATTGGACGAAGGTGTTAGAATATTTATTCCAATTCAAGCCTTACAAAATGACTCTAAATACTTCGAGGAACCTGAGAAATTCCGTCCTGAGAGATTCAGTCCTGAAGAAATTAGTGATTCTAATAAATACATCTACCTGCCTTTCGGTGCTGGACCACGGGCTTGTATTGGTAAGTTTTTTTTTGTCAATTTAATCTAAAGGGCCGTCAGCTTGTTTGCCATTATAAGTTGCATAAATTTTTTTATTATTTATTATGCTTGCTACCATAGTTGTCTGTTTTCTCAGTGTTTTTTTTTTCTATTTTACTAAAGTTATATTACACTTTAACCATCTTCAAACATGTATGCGTCTTGATGATAAGCTGTTATCTAATTTATTTACCTTTTACCAACGTAATATGCCGCTTTATTAAAATATACTTTTTCCTTGTCACATTGTCGTTCAGAATACTCAATAAAACGTTTAATACAAAGTTAATATCATACTAAGATTAAAAAAAAAAAAATATTAATCTTTCATTTTTTTTATACCACTGAGGTGGCAAACAAGCTTACGACCCACCTGATAGTAAGCGATTACCGTAGTTTATGAACGCCTGCAATACCAGGGGTAACTGAAAAACCTCTTTACCCCCCTTTTGTAGAGCCCCATGCTGTAGTCTCTTGGGAAAACCTCGGCAGGGAGCTCATTCCATAACCTGAGTGTTCGTTCGTTCGTGTTCATTTGCAAACTACATTAGATAGATATGTATTGCGTAGGAAGAATCTACATAGTCCATGTTTTATATTTATCTTGTATTTATAAACTTATATAACATTGTAATAATCTTCTATCGTACAAACTACTCGATGTTATCTTTATATACTTCAATACATATTTATTTATTATTTCATTTTTAAATTATTAATTATTATTACATTATTAATTAATATGTTATCACTACTATACTAGCAGTTAATTTACAGGGTACGGAGGAATAACACCTGAGTCCTCAGGAATGGCAACGCATGGGGAGTATCATGGGCGAAACAGTATACTCTGTTATGTCCATGATACTGCTCATGTCTATAGGCGACGGTTACCACTTATCATCAGGTGGGCTGTCAGATTGCAATTCTAAGTTGTATAAAAAAAAAAAAAAAACTGTATTTAGTTTTCATCATCATTTCATCATCATCTTAGCCATTATCTAATCACTGCTGTACATAGGTCTACTCCATAGACTATCATGACGGTTTGGAGCCACCTGTATCCACTGACATTGTTATATTTATTGCGTGTAAATTAATACATGTAACCATTCAATGACCTTAGTGGTTTAGTGGTTTGATATGTCGCTTTACCTTCCGATAGTCGCGAGTTCGCTCCTTCCTCTATATATATGTAAAAAGAGGTAACCGTCACCTATACACGTGATTCGTACCACGGTCATGCAGACTATACTGTGTCGCTCATGCGCTGCCATTCCTAAGGACTGAGGTTTTATGTCTCTGTACCCTGTTATTTGTATTAGTTTTGAAGTATGTAAACACTTCATTAGGCGCGTTTGGTGTTTTTTGGGAAGTAACTATTGACCTTGCGACAATGTTGCCATAACCGACACATCTGACGATTCAAAACACACACATACACACACGCACACACTTACATACATACATACACACACATATATTTACACATATCTATTTACAAAAATAAAACCATTTAGTATGTACAGTATCCACAGTGCAAACTCGGCGTAGTTTGCAACTGTTATAGATGGCTCTGGTAATGTATCCAATAGTTTTTATTCGATTTTTAATATACATAAGTCATAAGAAAGAAGTGTAGATAATATAAATACAAAGATTGAAAAGGGAACGTTTTGCGTTGGTTTGGTCATTTGGAAGGGAAAGAGATTTATCAAGCACGGATGAGTAGATATGTCGATAGGGGTCGCTCTAGGCGCACGTATGTCGAACAAATAGGTGACGTAGTGAAAAAGGCCAAGTTAAAAAGATCTTACAATACAATTGACAGTTGAGTTACTTATATGTATAATAGTTACTCTATATTTACATATATTTAGTAATATATATATATATATATATTAGCTGACCCCGTAAACGTTGTTTTACCACTTATTGCGGAATATAAAAATCGTGCTTAAAAAACAGGGGTTGATCGTAAAAGGGTGAAAATTTGAATTTGTATGTATTTTCATTTCATGAGTCCGATTCCACCACGTTCCACGGGTAGACGTCGTGTTTGGCACTACAGGTCAGCAGACTGGGATGAGATGCGGATTTTTTTCGCATCTTACCCATGGAGGCAGGTTTGCTTCATACTGGATGATCCCGACGCCATTGCCGATTCCATTGCTGATGTGGTGCTTCAGGGAATGGAATTATTTATTCCTAACTCTGTGGTGCCCGTCGGCGGGAAATCCCAGCCCTGGTATGGAGCCTCTTGTAGAACAGCATCTCGTCTGAAACAGGAGTGCTTCCTAACCTGGGCTAAAGGTGTGGCGTCGCGAGATCCTAACACCAGTGCTCTTAAAAAGAAGTATAACTCTGCCTCTAGGTCTTTCAAAAGAGTTATAGCCACAGCGAAGTCAGAGCATATTAGTAGAATTGGCAAGAGATTGGCTAGTTTGCCCTCTGGAACTCGAGCTTTCTGGTCTCTTGCCAAAGCTGCACAAGGGAATTTCTGTAAGTCATCTTTTCCACCATTGCGCAGGGAGGATGACTCGTTGGCCCAGAACGCTAAGGAAAAGGCCGATCTTCTTGGATCCATCTTTGCGTCAAACTCGACATTGGATGACGGAGAGAAATCACCACCGACCATCACGTGTTGTAGGAGCTCTATGCCTGACATTAAATTCACGCATAGCTCAGTGCGTAGAGCACTTTTCTCCCTCGAAATCCATAAGTCGAGTGGGCCCGATGGTATTCCTCCAATTGTGCTTAGGACGTGCGCACCAGAGTTGGCTCCGGTTCTTACGCGTCTTTTCCGGCTTAGCTACTCATCGGGCATAGTCCCAAAGTTTTGGAAGACTGCTCTGGTGCATCCGATCCCTAAAAAGGGAGATCGCTCAGATCCAGCTAACTATAGGCCCATAGCTATCACTTCCTTATTCTCGAAGGTTATGGAATCCATCATTAACCGTCAACTGCTCCGGTATCTAGAAGAGCACCAGCTGATCTGTGATCGCCAGTACGGCTTTCGACAGGGACGTTCGGCCGGTGATCTTTTAGCTTACTTAACACACCGATGGGCGGTGACAATCGAGAGTAAGGGAGAGGCCTTAGCAGTTAGTCTGGATATCGCGAAGGCCTTTGATCGGGTGTGGCATAGAGCGCTGCTTTCAAAGCTACCTTCATTTGGGTTGCCTGCGAGACTGTGCATTTGGGTCGCCAGTTTTCTCAAGGAACGTAGCATTAAGGTCGTAGTCGACGGAGCATGCTCTGATTTAAAACCTTTGAATGCTGGTGTCCCGCAAGGCTGTGTACTATCTCCGACTCTGTTTCTTCTGCATATCAATGATATGTTACAGATAAGTAATATTCATTGCTATGCAGACGACAGTACAGGAGATACATTATATACCGGTCATGCAAAGATCTCGCGGGCACATACCGATGAGTGCCGGAATAGACTTGTGTCTGAAATCGAAACTTCACTCCATCAAGTTTCGATCTGGGGTGAACAAAATCTTGTCCAATTTAACCCCAAAAAGACACAAGTCTGCGCGTTTACCGCAAAAAAGACGCCGTTTGTCGTATCTCCTCACTTTCAGGGCACTTCCCTTGATAAAAAGTCGAGTCTAGGAATTCTGGGCGTTGATATATCTTGCGACGTCCAGTTTTGCGGTCATCTGGAGGAGAAGGCTAAGATAGCTTCCAAAAAGTTAGGAGTGCTCAATAGGGTGAGACGATATTTCATGCCAGAACACCGCCTGAAATTATATAAAGCCCAAGTCAGGCCGCATATGGAATACTGTTCTCACCTGTGGGCAGGAGCGCCACAGTACCAACTCCTTCCGTTAGACCGCATTCAGAGTCGGGCGGCTCGAATTATCGATAGTCAACGCCTTACTGTCCGACTTGATCCACTGAAACTGCGCAGAGATGTTGCATCTCTGTGCATCTTCTACCGAATTTATCATGGGGAGTGTTCTGAGGAATTGTTCGGATTGATATCTGCTGCTGATTTTCACCACCGTACAACCCGCCACAAACTAAAGTTTCATCCCAATCATCTGGACGAGTGGCGGTCTTCCACCGTGCGTTTTTCAAGGCACTTTCTTCCACGCACAACCATTCTTTGGAATCAACTTCCAGCAGCAGTATTTCCGAACCGATACGACAACATAACCTTCAAGAAAAGAGTATATTCCTTTTTAAAAGGCCGGCAGCACACCTGCAATGCCGCTGGTGTTGTGGGTGATCATGGGCGGCGGTAGTCACTTACCATCAGGTGAGCCGCATGCTCGTTTGCCCCCTGTGTTGTAAAAAAAAAAAAAAAAAAATTTTTCAATGATAAATCACATTTAAATAAATATAATTTTTTTTGTCAGAACAATAAAAAAAAATTTTTTAGAGGTGGGTCACCCTTTGAGGGCTATAAAAAATAGATGTTGGCCAATTCTCAGAACTACCGAATATGCACACAAAATTTCATGAAAATCTGTAAAGCCGTTTCGGAGGAGTTTGGTAACAAACACCGTGACACGAAAATTATATATATATATATATATATATATATATATATATATATATATATATATATATATATATATATATATATATATATATATATATATATATATATATATATATGCTGTATATACAAACCCTATAGACACTCCTTTCGGCTTCTCAAGGTTGACTGGAAGAAATCCCTCTAAGGGATAAGTCTGTCTGTGTAATTTTTTATTATGACCTAATATCAATACTATAAGTGCATATATAAAAGCATATAAATAAATAAATATATACAAAATATAAGTAGTCTAATAAATAATATATATTTAATGTTTTTGTGCATTATATGTAAAAAATATTAATTCACTCTTGCGCTTCTATATGTTCTCCTTTAACCAAAGGTTGTCTGTAAGAGATTGTCTTAGCGATAAGACCGCCTTTTGTACCTTTATGTGTATATTTTGATCTGTACTCCATGCTACTGTATTTTAGTTGAATTGTTTATATGTCATTTATTATTTTTATGTTTTTAGTGCAATAAAGAATTAAATAAATAAATAAAAGTACTCGCAACCGGCGAGTTTGTGTGAATAGATTGATGAGTGTGAAAGAGACGAAAGACGTCGGTATGAGTATCCTTAAAATGTGTCAGTTTGTTTGTTTTGATTCTAATCATCATGAATTTATGCTATTTTTAACCGACTTCCAAAGGGGTTCTCAATTTAGTTACTATGTTTATTTTTTAATGTTTGTTACCTCATAACTTTGTCTGTTGTAAACCGATTTGGAAAATCCCTTTTTTATTTAAAAGTTTATATTTACAGATTGTTCTCGTGGAAACGTTATCAAAATTAGATCAGTAGTTTAGTTTCAAAATCGACATAACTAATTTTGCTACAATTAAAGTTTTTTTTTTTTAAGAAACTCTTATATTTATTTTATGTGTTTATGTATTTTCTATTGCAGGGGAGCGACTGGGTTTAATGCAGTCTTTGGCAGGACTAGCTGCGATTCTATCACGATTCACGGTCTCACCAGCTCCGGAAACCAAGCAGTATCCGAAGGTGAACCCTACGTCAGGCATCGTACAAAGTATTCAAGGCGGTTTACCACTTTATTTCAAAGAAAGAAAAGGGACATGATTTCGATTATACTATGCAATGTTAATAATAGTGGCCGATCGAACTTTCGGTTTCGGTTTCGGCTAATTTCGGCCAGAAATTATACTTTCGGCCTTAGTTTCGGTTTCGGCCGCGCCGAAACTTTCTGTGTGTTTGTGTTGTGTGTGTGTCTAATTGAAAGTTGTTTTTTTTTTTTAAGTTTACTTTCAAGCGTAAGTCATAATTTTAACATGTGTTTACATATAAATATATATGACATATTTGTTACATACTTTAATTAGTGTTTATTATTACCCTTCAAATATCTGTGTGTTTGTGTAAATAATTGTATAAAAATATACTAGATTTCAGTATAGAAGAAAAATTTTAAATATGTTCCAAAAAGTTTCGGTTTTTGCCGAAATTGAGACCAAGGCCGAAAGTTGGGTTTCGGTTTCGGCTGTAAAACCTGTTTCGGTTGGACACTAGTTAATAATATTTTTAGAATAAAAGAATGCAAATATGTAAACAAGTAATGGGTAATTGTGATCGTCATTCATCAGGCGTTAATTGTCCACTGTTATGAATATAGGCTTCCCCTTATCGACTGGTTTTGCCAGTAGTTGCCATGCTTGGCAGGCGGATTGACAACCGCAGTTAGATTTTGGTGATGTTTCAAGAATGTAATATTATGTATAATTTAATCCGTTTCGACAGAAATTTATTTAAAATGTACCAAGTTTTGTTTAAATTATCAAAGAAACACTAGGCATGAGTAGTATAGATACCGATCCAATATCTACATATATATTAGGTTCTCTAGATTTTTATGGCAGAAAAAGGTTGACCCATTTTGATATCGTCCATATCGGCCGGATATCTATTTTCGAATATGTTAAAAGTCTTTTATCCAATATTATTTATTGAATAACAGACTTTTAACGTATTCGTTATTGGACCAAAACATAGATACTATAACTAAAGTATATAAAAATTGCTATACATATATTACCAACTTCTAAGAAAATACTCTCTAAATGAAATATACGAATAAATTAAAATGTTTAATCAATTAATTTTATTGTTAAAAGTTTTGTAAGCACACATTATATTTTAATTTAATAATAAAAAAGCTTGACTAGTGCTCCGTTACAGTCACTCGCGACTAAGGATCACGAATTGATTCCGAAACTAGTCGAGCTTTTTTCGATCTAATTACACGTAAGTTAAACCGGTTGTTATTAATTTAAAATAAATTTATTTTAACTTTTTAATTTTTTTTTTGATGAGTGAAAATGATATAGTAACCCCGCCCGCGCTAACGGGATACGCTGGCGGAGCACCAGTGAAGGGTGATAGATGAGAATGAAAACAGGCCAGTTAGCCCATCATGATGAATTCAACAGGAATTAACAATGATAGTTTCCAGGGGGAACTGCGAGGAGGTCGACCTGGTTGGGTATATTGCTAGCAATGGGATTCTGTCTCCATCACTAACAATCCCTTTCCCCCTAACTTTTTAATATTAGATATTAGTAGACTGTCTTATGGTCTGGTTAATTATTTATTTGTTTATACTTTCATTAAATTTAGTGTTCCGGGGAGAGTTGATGTCAGACAGACAACCAAAAGTCAAAATCTTGAGTATTATAAATAAAAATATATTCATCATCGTCATATTAGCTTTTAAATGTCCACTGCTGAACATAAGCCTCGCCCTAGGGGAGTTTCGCTAGTAGTTGCCATGTTTGGCAACTGGATTGGCGAACGCAGTTCAGCTTTAAAAATGTTTTGAGAGGGACGCTGCTGTCTATCCCTCGCCCTCCCTTAGTCGCCTTTTACGACACCCACGGGAAAGGAAGGACCAGATGGAACACTTAAAAACATATTAGGTTAGTTTTTGTTAAGTTCTAGTAATACACATCATACATTTTTCTAATTTCAACATTAAATCCAGCACACTATTGTCCAAAATAGGATATGCCTGTGTCTTAAACATCAGTGCATTCTTCAAGTAGTTTTTTTAATGGATGATACTGGAATAGCAACCCCGCTTGCGCTAACGGTATACACTGGGAGGAAAGGGATTGTTAGTAATGAGGTCTAATAGAACGAATCTTAGGTCGACCTCCACGCGGTTTACCCTGGAAACCATCATGGTTAACTAATTCTTGTTGAATTTATCATGGTAAGCTAACTGATCTGCATTCATTCTCACCTTTCATCTTCCATTGGTGCCTCGTCGGTGTATATCGATAGCGCAGGAAGGGTTACCATTCCATTTTCATCCATTAAAAAAAACGGTATACACTGGCGGGGCACTAGTGAGAGATGATAGGTGAGGATGAAAGCAGGTCAACTGGCCCATAGTGATAAACTCATAAAAAAAACAATCAAGCTGGTTTCCAGGGGGAACCGCGTGGAGGTCAACCTGGTAAGGTATATTGTTAGCAATGGGGCCTCTTGTCCCATTACTAACAATCCTTTAGCTCCTATTTAAGTGGTTAGTGCAGTTAGAGTCTTATCATTTTAATATTTAACCAGTAAACATGGTAATATGATTTTATTTTCCGATTATGAACTGTATCATAGTCTTACTAGAATTCAGTTATTTATCTTTGAAATACCAGTATTAATCTATGAATTATGACTTTAATTAACAATGTATATATAAATAATGAATTATTACAGAGATTATTGTATGTATGTAGATAAAGATTAGCAAAAAGTGCTGATTGATTTGTAATTCATATCTCTTGTAAAACACTTTTATATTATATTTTATATATGTATTATTAAAAAAAGTGACGCTATTCTTATGTTGTTTAATTAAAAAAATATATTTAAATAGACATTTGAATGTATAACGCCAGAACGTATATCTTAAAGTTTTAATTTTTGTTTTTGTTTTTTAACAAGCAAAGCTTTACACAGAAAAAAAAATTACATTCGAACATGGAACCTTTTTTTTAAGTCGATTAAAAAAGGCGGCTACAATTGTCAACAATTAATATGGTACCAATAGAGGAGTAATGGGGGGAAAGGGATTGTTAGTGATGGAGACTGAGAATCCCATTGCTAGCAATATACCTAAACAGGTCGACCTCCTCGCGGTTCCCCTGGGAACTATCATGTCATATCATTAATTCCAGATGAATTCATCATGATGGGCTAACTGGCCTGTTTTCATTCTCATCGATCACCCTTTACTGGTGCTCCGCCAGCGTATCCTGTTAGCGCAGGCGGAGCTACCATACCATTTTCACCCATCAAAAAAAACTAAAAATGCAATCAGTAAAATTTTTGTCTATCTGTCTGTCTGTATATTCGTTATAGAAACAAAAACTACTCGACGGATTTTAACGCAACTTGGTACAATTATTCTTCATACTCCTGGGCAGGTTATAGTATACTTTTCATCACGCTACGATCAATAGTAGCAGAGCAGTGAAGGGAAATGTGTCTGTTACATCAAAACCACTGAACCGCGAGGAAGGATATAGGCTACTTATTTTACGAAAAACGACGGAAACGCGAACGAAGTCGCGGGCAACAGCTAGTTTGTAATATATTTAGTGTCTGGTCGTTTTTACGAGACATTATTATCTGCCGTATCTATAGACGTGTTATATGCCATAGGTCATGGTCATTTTAAGAGCTCTATTCATTCTTCAAAGGCATAATTAATTTTAATTTTATTACGTAAAAACCAATAGCTTGTTATAACAACAAAAATAGGTAGGGGGAAAGGGATTGTTAGCAATGGAGTTTGACAGCCCCATTGCTAGCAATATGTCCTATTAGGTCAACCTCCACGTGGTTCCCCCTGGAAACCATCGTGAACAATTCTCGTTGAATTCATCACGATGGGCCAACTGACTTTGTTTCATCCTCACCTATCATCCTTCACTGGTGCCCCGCCAGCGTATCCTGATAGCGCAGGCGAGGTTACCATTCCATTATCACCCATTAAAAAAAAATAGGTATAAACAATGTATTAGATACTGTTTATAAAATTATATATACATAGATAGATACTCTTTATGGTTTCATTCAAAAGATTACAGTAATAAACTTATTATAGATACAAACAATAGACAGAAATATATTGTGTTAATTTTTTTTAAACAAAAATTTTTATGAATATGTTTAAAGTGTATGTTATTTGAAATTAATTTAATTTAATACGTTTAATTTAGTATATTTATAATTTCATCTTATTTATTTGGCTCACATAAAAATCGGTAAAAAAACTTTTAAGTTAAACGGTTTTATTTTATGTGCACTGAAAACTACAAAATAAATAAATAGTTACTTACCTATCAACCTACGTAGGTGATCTCGGTCATTAATATCTCTGATGGTAGTGGTTGTCATAACATGAACCATGTCAGCGGCCGAAAGGCAGTTCATGAGAGAACACTAACACCAGGGTTTGCTTGGTAGGTAAACTAAGCAGCCCACACTATAACAAGTAGGTATTTTGACCTTCTAGTTCAGAAATATTTTAGTACTAGGCAGAATAGCTTTTAGGCATATTAGACTAAAATAAAAACGTGGGGCCCCTCTGAAATCATACCTATAGCAGAGCATATCTTATACTTTGGTAGATCATGAGCTCGGCGTTCACTGGTGAAGCCGTAACGGCTGGTTATTGATGGTCAAAACCTCCAGTTACGATTATAGTAAGTCGATTCAGCGGACCCTGGACTCCTGAGCTATGAGGTTTCGGATGCGACCGGGATAAACCGCTAGGATGATGATGATGACGAGTATAATAAGTCGATGCAATCCACACTTAGTATAGTAGAAAGTAATACAGAAATAGTTAATGGGCCCCACGTTTTTATTTTAGTCTAATATGCCTAAAAGCTATTCTGCCTAGTACTAAAATATTTCTGAACTAGAAGGTCAAAATACCTACTTGTTATAGTGCGGGCTGCTTAGTTTACCTACCAAGCAAACCCTGGTGTTAGTGTTCTCTCATGAACTGCCTTTCGGCCGCTGACACGGTTCATGTTATGACAACCACTACCATCAGAGATATTAATGACCGAGATCACCTACGTAGGTTGATAGGTAAGTAACTATTTATTTATTTTGTAGTTTTCAGTGCACATAAAATAAAACCGTTTAACTTAAAAGTTTTTTTACCGATTTTTATTTTCTTGTTTTTAGTATTTAGTGAAATTGTTTACCGAATATTCCTCATTTTATTTAATTCATTCAGTGCATCATTATTACATGGTTTCTTACCTGATAATTTAGTACAATCTAATTCCTCAATACATAGCCCTTCCAGAGACTTGACTCGACTTAGAGCCACGTATGCTTGTCCTTCCTCAAACCATTTTGAGCCCAAATATACTACTGCATGGTCGACGGTGCTGCCCTGCATTTTATGGACGGTGAATGCTCATGACAAAACTAAGGGCAACATCCTTTTTTCAGCCGTACCATAATTGAATTTTGCTGGAAACTGTATGGCTTTAGGGTAAATAACGTGCATGCCGTCTGTGCCAAAGTCAATTAAAACTGATGATATATCTGTTTCGTACATTTGGGTTCGACGGAACTGAGGCCAAAAAGGTGTCTGAGTGTCAAGTGTCTGAGAGTCTAGTGTCTGAGTGTCTTGTATCCGAGTGTCCAGTGTCTGAGTGTCTAGTGTCTAGTGTTTAGTATCTGAGTGTCGAGTGTCGAGTGTCGAGTGTCTAGTGTCTGAGTGTCGAGTGTCTGAGTGTCTAGTGTCTAGTGTTTAGTGTCTGAGTGTTGAGTGTCGAGTGTCGACTGTCGAGTGTCGAGTGTCGAGTGTCGAGTGTCTAGTGTCTAGTGTCTAGTGTCTGAGTGTCTAGTGTCCGAGTGTCTAGTGTCTGGGTGTCTCAGTGTAGTCCTATTATTTGATACCCATATTGTGGTGGTTGTGGAAAAATATGTACCTAGTCCGCCATATTGGAACGGCGTCCATCTTGAATTTTAAATTTTGACATAATCATCGTGTTTTACTAGTGTAGCCCTTTCATTTGATACCCATATTGCGGGGGTTAAGGAAAAATATGTAATCCGCCATTTTGTATCGACGGCCATCTTAGATTTATAATGTTATTGATTTTATTATATTGTATTGTCATCTAAATTAAATGTGTGTACCAAATTTCAGATCAATCTGACAACGGGAAGGTGCTTAAATTCCAATTTCTAATTTTGACCCAAATAAATAAATACCGTACGGGTCGAGCTAAATAAAACCGTTTAATAACAGAAGTTTACAATTACAAACTTAAACTATAACTTGCAAGTACACAATGTATTGATCAGGTAAACTTGCCACAACATGTGCACACAGCATGATCCAATAATAAATGCGACTGCAACGAAACCATTCGGTTGTAACAATTATTAGTGATAAAAATTAAACATAAAAAAATAAAGTAAAATAAAAAACAAAACAAAAGCTAACCCTTCTTTGCATGATTTTTTTGTTATTGTTCCCCCTGGAAACCATCGTGTTTAATTGTGGATTTGTCACGGTGGGTTAACTGACCTGCTTTTATCCTCAGCTTTCATCTATCACTGGTGCCCCGCCAGTGTATACCGATAGCGCAGGTGGGGTCACTATTTAAATCAAAGTGATATAATTCATGTTCAAAATTAAAAGAAAAATTAAAAAAAAATTGACAGCTATGTTTTTTTTTTTTCTGCAATGGACATTAATAAGGTATCCAGACACGATTAACTTAAAATGATATTGTTTTTTTATATAATTTTTGGGCATTCTATGTTGTAATGGAAATTTCCACCATTATGCAAAGATCATATCATATCATATTTCTTTATTTACAAATGTAACAATTTTCGTCGCACAATGGCAAGTCAATATTTACATTTAAATTTTGAAATTAATAAAATAAATAATAACAATAATAATAACATTCAAATTATAAAATAAAAATAACATTACAAATTAATTACAGTTAACATTATAAATTAGTTGATACATGTCAATATAATGGTGACTATATACCAAATAATGATGACTTCAAGTTATAAAATTGGAATTGTCACACTTCTTACAGATAAACATCAATAAATAATAATGCTATAATTTAATATTGACATTTGGGTATTCGGTCACGTTGTAAAAAGGATGTTGTTCAAAATATGTCTTTATTTTATTTTTAAATTCATTTCTCGGCAATTGCGTTGCTGTATTGGGTAGTTTATTATACATATTTATTTTTATATATATGCCTTGTTTCATAATTTTTGTGAGTCGTGTTCTTGACAATTCCAATTTGTCTTTTAATTAAGAGAAGGGTTAATTAATAGTTAATTATATATAAAAATCCTATATCGCGATGTTTGCTTACGCTAATCATCCAAATGACTCGACTAATATTATTGAAATAAAAACTTTTTTTATATTTTTAACCGAGTCCATTGCGGTTATCTTTACACTTAGGTAATTTACCTAGATATTTATTTGTCTTCGACGATATTTTGACCCTGTTGCAACTCATGGTTATGATGTAACTAATGAAATGCAAGTAATACGTTCTGAATATAACGGTTTGAAGGGTAAGATATGGCATGAATTTACAGGGTACAGAGGAATAACACCTGAGTGCTCAGGAATGGCAACGCATGGGGTTATGTTTATTTTATCACTCGAGCGCAGTTTCGGACGGTTGTTATCTGCCGTGAAGAAGATACGTCTCGTATCTTAACAATTATATCATCCAGGTATTATATATAGAGGTTTTATCTGTCAGTTTGTACACGCTAATATCAGAAATTGCTTAACCGATTTGAATACAAC